GATTTTGGTGATCTCTGGGATCGAATTTGACCCCAACACGGCCGTGAAGTTCGACGTTTTGATCAACAGCGAAGAGGACAGGGAAATACGGGCGGATAACACTGAGTTTGCCGGCAGCTTCGCGAGCGTGCCCCATCAGAACGCCAACATGAACAACCTCAAGACCTGCCTTAGGTTGGGGATAACTGAACTGCTTGAAGATTTGGGCATAGAGGATCAAGACAGCGTCGTCGTCACTCTCGTGCCTAGGATCAAGGATCAGAACATTACCATTGGTGGCATCGAGATTGAATTTGACCAAGATGATGATTAACCAAACTCATCTACTTATCTTTATTTTTCTTCTACTAAATGTCACCGTATAATTGCCAATCTGTGTTCATGGATAATTAAAATGTTTGCTTCTTCTTTTAATTTTCTGTCGTCGCACATTTATTTAATGTTGACACTATCCTTACAAATTTTCCCTCAGAAGAGTATTTGTCGACACTCTAGTTTGTGTCGACGATATCGAGCCATAAAGATGAAATTGAATGGTAAAGAGCCAAAGTCATCAAGAACCCTAGGTTATAAATCAAGCTGCTATGGGCCTATGGTATCTCTGTTCCCTCCCTTCAGAAGGGTAACTTTTCCAAATCTAATATAAAAATGTAGTTAATCACATGTACTAGTACATGAATTTATTTTTAGATATAAAATAAAATGAGAATTAAAGAGAATTGATGGAAGAAAGCGAAGGATATTTAAACAACATTAAAGTTTTGACACGTAGAAGATACAGTATTTTTCAAAACAAGAATATAAGTCATGATCATGGTTGAATCATGATTGTTTTTGTGACCCATCTTCTTTCTTTTTTTTTTCTTTTTTCTTTTGTATTTTTTGTGACCCATCTTCTTAATGCATAAAAGGAAGGACTAAATATGTGTATCAAAGGTAATATTCTTTTAGGATTTTTTAAGACGGGATTTTAATCTTTTAAAACTCTCAATTTTACTCTTTATAAATTTTTAGAAAAATATATTGTGCCCCTTATTAAATTCGACATATTATTTTTCATGCAAGTATAGAATTCAAATTAATATTTGGAATTCAGATCGGTGACTTTTCAGAAAATTTTTTAAGAGGTCGTTCAATATGTAAATTGCTCCAAAACTATCATGTTTGGTTTTGAATTTCTATTAAAATATTTTTAACCCTGTTTGCATAGTGTAAGGATTTTCCTCTCATTTCAATGGTCGGTTCATAATTTAGTATTTTCAACTAACATTATTTTAAAAAAAAATTACGTGAACGGACATTTTCTTCATTTGTATTAATATTTTTTATTTTACAAAGGGATTCTTGAATATCTTTATTTCCCTGATCTATCCTTTAGAATATTTGGCTGCGAAGGAATAACTCATTCCTTCTCAAAAGTCTCATCGTTACTCCATCTTGATCGTCGAAATCATTATATTTCTTTTTTAGTTTTGCTATTTCCATCATTTCTCTTAATTGAAGTACTTCCATCTAGCCTCTAACTTCTGGTACGTTATTCAAATACTTGTATTAATGAAACCATTTCTTTCAAAAAAATATATTATATATTTAATGAATTGTTTTGTTTTCGATTACAAAAGGTTAACCGAGGAATTTTAACTAGATTATATTTACGAACTTTGGCGGAGAAAATGCAAAACGTTTAGAAAATGCGGACATTTTTTGAGAATTCAAAAGTAAAAATGGCGCCTATATATATGTAAATAAGTCCGTATAATATCGTGCGGCCCAGATCATATTTGATACCATGAGCTCATTTGGGCCCAACATATGAATGTGTACAAGTAGATATTTGGGAAAGTTTCGTACAAAATAAAGTAAATAATTTATACATAAAATTTAATATTTTGCCTATGTTTTCTTGAAAAAAATCAACGAAAAATATTCTTAATTGGTGGAGGTGGAAAAACCATTTGGATCAGTTTTCTTTTCAAGACTTTACCAAGTCATTGGTTGTTGAATAATTGCACAGAGTTTCAGATTCATTTTTATACCCATGACCATATATTATTTAAAATGGATCAATATCAATAGCGATAAAATTTGAGAGAAAAACACCATGGTTTTTGGTTCACTCTCTCCAGAAGATCAATTATTATTGAAAAGCATTACTCAAACTTATGCTGCACACTTTTAAGGTTTTCGTTGATTCTTTCTAAAACTCCTAATAGATCCCGATAGTTCAACCCACATTTAAAAACTCTAAAATTTTGTTTCAAGTTCTTTCCTTTTTCAAGTGATTTTGGTTTCGATCTGTCAAACCTTGAAAAAACTTACCCAAAATTTATATTTTGAAAGAGTATATATTTCGAGACGGAGGGTTTGATATATATTATTAGGGGAATGAGATAGAATAAGGAAGCCAAATATACTCCCACATATATAATTGGATGAAGAGTAGCAAGAGGAGATGTTTGACTCTACCAAAATCTAATTAACAAGTTTGAAGGTATGAAGTTTAGGTTGAAAAAGTTTGAGCTTGTGAAATTAATGTATTAATCTGTATTATAAAGGAAGGCATGACTTTGTGTAGCTAGTTGGTAAACACATTTTTATCTCATTAGAGCCTCCATTATCATTTGAATCTACATTCAATTTTAGAATATGTTGAATAAGCATGCCCTTGACATAATGTTACTATTGTACTCATGAAGTATCTCCAATGGTATGATACTGTCTATTTTAGATATAACTCTTAAGACTTTATTTTTTGTGTCACCCAAAAGACCTCATGCTATTGGAGATAATTGTCTTTATAATCGTGTGACAATATGAGACTTTGTTTGCATACTTTACAAACATAACGTAAGATATTTTTGTGAAGAAATTGATTTCGAACTTTCATGCACGTGTCAGTAATTTCAATGGTGTGTGTTTTGGAATTTTGAGTTTTGGATTCCGACCAGGTGTCTTCCCCCGATTAGGCTTATTCTACTGACCAGACCTTATTTTGACTTGGCATCTTCTGCCGACCAGGTCTCTTCCGTTGACCAGATCTGATAACTGCACGACAACAAAAGTCAGTAGCACGTAGCAGTAGGAGCAACTTGGAAAGTCGACTCGGTCTCCATAAATTGTGCTCGGCAAGGAGAAGTGACTTAGTCGACACAAGCAGATAAAAGAAAATGACAAAACTTCAAGTATTTGAGAAAATTTTCGTTTGATACGTTAAACAAAATCTCTTCAAGTGGGGGCCAGGTGAGTAACAATCGTCAAGGAACTCGAACTGGGATAGACCTAGAATCAGACCGATAAGCTAGAAGCCAGTGAGTGAAACCGGGGAAAAGAATCCCAAAGGTGCAGGCATGTGTACAGGCCTGATGAAACAGAAAGCTGGCAAGCCAAACCAATCAAGGAAATCTAGGGTATAAAACATTTGGCAAAAGCCAAAATAGGTTAGAAACTCGAGGGTATTGATTAAACTCAGTGTAAAAAACTGGCAGAAGCCAAATAAGTTAAAAAC